CCACACGTTTCTTAACTTGAGGACAATTAGTTTGACTCTTTATTCATATCATAACAAATTTATTCAAAATAAGTGCTAGAATTGGCAATATATCACATTTACATACAAAGAGTTTCATATGGTTAATAATGATTAATTCATGTACTTTTTAATATAACTTATAAATAGAAGTGTAAATTGTACATTTTATAAACAGTTGTATGTGTGTACATTCCATTTACTTACAAGTTATTAGATCTGATGTTATTATGTTATTTATTTTTATGCCTATATTTGTATTATAATAGTTTTAACTGCAATCTGTTTGATATCATATTAGTTTTAACTGCTATCTGTTTGATATCATATTAGTCTTGGCTGCAATCTGTTTGATATCATATTAGTCTTGGCTGCAATCTGTTTGATATCATATTAGTTTTAACTGCAATCTGTTTGTTATCATATTAGTTTTAACTGCAATCTGTTTGATATCATATTAGTTTTAACTGCAATCTGTTTGATATCATATTAGTCTTTGCTGCAATTTGTTTGTTATCATATTAGTTTTAACTGCAATCTGTTTGATATCATATTTGTTTTAACTGCAATCTGTTTGATATCATATTAGTCTTGGCTGCAATCTGTTTGATATCATATTAGTTTTAACTGTAATCTGTTTGATATCATATTAGTTTTAACTGCTAACTGTTTGATATCATATTAGTCTTTGCTGCAATTTGTTTGTTATCATATTAGTTTTAACTGCAATCTGTTTGATATCATATTTGTTTTAACTGCAATCTGTTTGATATCATATTAGTTTTAACTGTAATCTGTTTGATATCATATTAGTTTTAACTGCAATCTGTTTGATATCATATTAGTCTTGGCCGCAATCTGTTTGATATCATATTAGTTTTAACTGTAATCTGTTTGATATCATATTAGTTTTAACTGCAATCTGTTTGTTATCATATTAGTTTTAACTGCAATCTGTTTGATATCATATTAGTTTTAACTGCAATCTGTTTGATATCATATTAGTTTTAACTGCAATCTGTTTGATATCATATTAGTCTTGGCTGCAATCTGTTTGATATCATATTAGTTTTAACTGTAATCTGTTTGATATCATATTAGTTTTAACTGCAATCTGTTTGATATCATATTAGTCTTGGCCGCAATCTGTTTGATATCATATTAGTTTTAACTGTAATCTGTTTGTTATCATATTAGTTTTAACTGCAATCTGTTTGATATCATATTAGTTTTAACTGCAATCTGTTTGATATCATATTAGTCTTGGCTGCAATCTGTTTGATATCATATTAGTTTTAACTGTAATCTGTTTGATATCATATTAGTTTTAACTGCAATCTGTTTGTTATCATATTAGTTTTAACTGCAATCTGTTTGATATCATATTTGTTTTAACTGCAATCTGTTTGATATCATATTAGTTTTAACTGCATTCTGTTTGATATCATATTAGTCTTAACTGCAATCTGTTTGATATCATATAAGTTTTAACTGCTATCTGTTTGATATCATATTAGTTTTAACTGCTATCTGTTTGATATCATATTAGTTTCAACGGCAATCTGTTTGATATCATATTAGTTTTAACTGCAATTTGTTTGATATCATATTAGTCTTTGCTGCAATCTGTTTGATATCATATTAGTTTTAACTGTAATTTGCTTGATATCATATTAGTTTTTACTGCAATCTGTTTGATATCATATTAGTCTTAACTGCTAACTGTTTGATATCATATTAGTCTTTGCTGCAATTTGTTTGTTATCATATTAGTTTTAATTGCTATCTGCTTGATATCATATTAGCTTTAACTGCAATTTAGTTATAACTGCAATCTGTTTGATAAAACATTTATATAATTTTTCTAGAGAGCTTACAATTCAAAGTCAATCATTATTATGTAGGGCTTTGAATTAGGCTGGACCTTTTTGAAAAATCTCTAGTTAAAATGGTATTCAATTTGGTTTCTTCTCTTGTCGATGTTAATAAATTTCTAAGAAATAAAATTCTGGTATTTGAATAACTCTTTCAATTTTTATTCATATATGCCCCTAAAAATTATTGACTTTATCACTTTCTACTTCATCTATATTTTAATAATTGTACATCAGACAATTATTATTATATTTTCAGTAAATTCACCAATAGAAATGATACTATTGAAGATTAGTCATCCATAAATAACATACCATATCTAATTTGACTTCCACTATGTTATCATCAGTCATTTTAATCCTACTCTGTGACATGGGCCAGTGCCTTTATGTATGAGACTCATACGGCCGCATTTGCATGGGGGGCAAAATAGCTGATAGAGACTGATTTCAGCTTCAATTGAGAATTTGTTCTAATTTTGCAGGGGGTATATATTTGCACCAGCCCCACCCCCCTATTTACGGGCCATAGTTATAGCCTAATGCTATTTCATTAATTCATATATTGCTGGTTGCTTAGTTTGACTGAAATTGTATAATTTGTTACATTTTTTTTAATTGAGGATCATTTTTATACTCCCACATCTCTCTATGTGGACATATATTGTCGGCACCCCTTACCGTCCGTCGGTCCGTTTTCATTTGCTTTTAAACGCTCTAAATACTAGATTTTTTGATGGAATAAAATGAAATTTGGTATGTGTATGCATATTCATAAAACGAAGATCAAGTTCGAATTTAAGCTATTTTCGACAGTGAGAAGCAGAGTTATTGCCCTTGCCCCATATATCTTGAATATGCTATTACTCTCTTAATTTTCAAATGGATGTTATTGGACCTAAATCGAAAGGTTTGAGAAAGTTTAGTTTACTTCTGATTAAATTCAAGGCTTTGTCAAGATTCAGGCCTCTTACGTCAGTTTTGAGGAGTTATCGCCCTTTAACCTCTATATATTAAGTGCTTCTATCAACATTAATTGCTCGTAAACGCTCTAAAAACTAGATTTTTTGATGGAATCAAATGAAATTTGGTTTATGTATTCATATTCATAAAACGAAGATCAAGTTCGAATTTGAGCTATTTTCGACCGTCAGAAGCAGAGTTATTGCCCTTGCCCTAAAATCTTGAATATGCTATTACTCTCTAAGTTTACAACCGATTTTGATGAAAATTAAAATGGATGTTTCGTTTTTACCATCCGCATGCTGTGAAGGGCGTAATGGCTGTGGTCCACAATCTTTTCTGTGGGAGGCACCCAGTTCTTATGGTAGTTAAGCCACTGCCTTGCTTGATGTCTATTGACTTGAAACATTATCAAATTCTCTAATCTTTACCAAATATTTAGTGATATTTCATAAACATGTTTGTGATTTCTGTCTCCTAAAACCTACTGAATAATTATCAGATAAACTTTTATTTTCATCCTGTTCTGGTTTATGATTTAACCCGGTGAGTAGACAGACACAGAAAAACTTTTCGATAAAAAATAAATATTTGATCTGGACTTCCCGCCTTCCGCAAATACCGCCATTATTTGATACAGTGTCATGCTCTATAAATTATAAATACCTTCGTAGAATACACACAAAAAAACTGACAAACATAGCCTAGAGACTGGTAGGCTAGGCCTATAGTGATTAAACGGAGGTCCTTGAGTGACCTATCGACAAACTATGGGAAGCGCGCCAAATCTGTAAGTTCTACTGCGCATGTTTTATCTGACATTGTTTCTAATCAGCAGAAGACGGCTTTTGCAGACGGACTCTGTGAGCACCCGGTTTATCATATTCACAACAGTTAGTAGCGGTCGATTTCTCAATTTGTGTATCGCTTAGTCATCTGTGACAGCTACAGGTTGATATACTGTATACAAAATTTATACATAGAACTCTGTGGTAGGATTACTGGTATTATACGGCATGCCGCATTATACAGATAGCAGCTGACTTGTTGAGATGATTTTATTGAACTGACAGGAACCCAGTCTAATCTTGTTCTTTAGCGCTACTGATTGGTTACAATGAAATTATATCGAGGGATTAGAAAGGAAGAGATGAGAAATATTGGGACAAAGAAAAAAATCTACCATTGTTATACATAAAAGCTATGTATTATTTTGGATGTTTCTGATATGCTTTAATACATTTTGGAAAGGTAGGCTTTAAGCCTATAGGTCTATACTATATATAAGTGAAAAAATAAGCTTATTGATAGCTGAAAAGTCAAAATGAAAGTAATTAATAAAGGTCTAATGATCAGTTAAAAGGACAGGAAATGAAATGATATATTTAATATGATTCTAAGGAATTATATACTCAGGAGTGGAATATTTATAATGTTCATGATATTCTGTCCATTAATATTAGTATGTGTTCAATTCTTTATCCATTATATCCTACCCAGGGGTTTAGGAAGAACTTTTTCATGTCTGGTTGTAGAAAAAGACGAACTAGAATCACATGAAAGAACCAGTGATGTTTATTATAATTACTATAATGTGTCTGGTATCTCCACGACTTATGACATCACACAAATACGCTTCGAGGTACCATCCAAACCCTGTGATTCCCGACATCAGCCATATTTAGTGATTTGTATTTTATCGTCACCAGCAACGAAAAGTTTAAAACTACGCAGAGCGATTCGACGAACTTGGGCTTCCAGTACTTATAATGGTCAAGTGCGTTTTATATTTTTTGTTGGTCATAGTAAGGTTTTAGAGAAAAAAAATCAAAGTAAGCTGATGGAGGAAAGCAATCTCCATGGTGATATAGTTATTATAGACTATGAAGATAAATACCGTAGAATAAATTATAAAAGTGTTTCAATTTTAAAATGGTGTTCAAATTATTGTTTAAATTCTCGATATATTGCTAAAGTTGATGAAGACATGTTTCTAGATCTTCCCAATTTATTATCATTGTTAAACTCTATAGAGATTCCAAAAGTAATACTTGGGTTTGTGATAAGCAATGGAAAACCAATCCGAAATACAAAACATAAATGGTATGTATCTGAACAAATATATAGATATGAACACTATCCTGTGTATATTAGTGGTACCACATATGTTATATCTTCAGACTTATTATCAGGATTGTTACTTGCTGCCAGTCAATCACCAACCATTCCCAATGAAGATGTTTACATCACTGGTATATGTGGCAAAAAAGCTGGTGCAACACTGTTAGGACATTGTGGATTTAATACGTCAAAATTGCCAGTTTTCATGTGGGCATTTAAATTAAATGTCAATGCACATCACTACACTCCTAAGGAGTTTCAGGAAATATGGAATATCAAAAAGACTTTGTTGCATAAAAGTTGGAATTGGTTGAAATACACAAGTTTATTATTCATGTGACCGTCCGTTCTACTGTGGGGCTGTTATGACTCAGCGAGTTAATATGCTTGCTTGATGACCTGGAAATACTGTGATTCAATCCTGGCTATTGTGGGGACATTTCCAAAGAAACAGGTCAGATAGAATAGACAAGTCAGATGGGACAAGAAACCAATGATCCTCGAGAAAGATTGAGATAATTCATTGAGATAAATAATGTTAACTAAGTTTTGATATTGTATAAATTTTCATAGGAAGAGGAATAATCAGCAACTAATTATTACTTATGATTAAATAAGTAACTGGATATCATATTTTAAAAAGTGCTTATTTTTAGCAAAAAGTTGTGCGTACAGTAAAAAATCAGTAATGTGACTAATGTCTGGTACATTAGAGTAGTAGTTGCAATAATGGCTACACCTTGAGTCCTTCAATAAACCTTCTAAATACAGATAAATGCAATAGTTGTTGTAAAGAGATTTTCTTAATAAAAAAACATTATCTGTATTTGAGATACGAGTCATAAATATTTTAGATAACCTCTTTACAACCCCTTTAATCAGAAAAGTTTTACCACAAATGTTAGTTAAGAATACATGTATCTACAAAATTACAAGTCAGTTAGTATTTGTCCCCTGTAACAATAGATTGTACCCCCCATTTCTGTGGAATTTTAAAATATGCTTTTTATACTTTTTCCCCCTTATATGTGTTAAATCAATTAAATTTTTATAAATTTTCTGGTGGAGAAGCTCCTCAGTCTTTTCATGGCACCGAAAGTTGTACCCCCAATAGGTCAAGTGCTGCCCCCTACTTGAGCCACTGCCACTGTGCGAGGATTACGATTACAAATTGACCTTCTTCCTTTTTTATTTACTATAAATATTTGATATATTTAAAGAAATAACTGATGAAATGTCTATAGCCCTTACCAGAATTGTTATTTAGATTGAACTTTTTTATTTATTATGAATATTTCTTATTAGGTATTTGATATATTTCCTATAAAGTATTTGATATATTTAAGGAAATAGCTAATGAAATGCTGTATAGCCCTTACTAGAATTGTTATTTAGATTGAACTATTTTATTTACTAAGATCATATCCTGTTACAGTTGAATGATTTAAGAGTATTATCATCTATATTTTTTATATTCATATAGTTGCAATATAGTTTTGTTTATTATTTTGTTTTTGTTTTTGGATGATGTTAATTTCCTGTCTATATGTGTGTTTTACATTCAGCTATAAGCTTTTGTTTCTTTTTATCAGGTGAACTACGGTATTTAAAACATGAAATACATGCTGTATGCAATGAAGATGAATTTTTTACAGCCAGTGGAATAAGTGGAATATTATTGAAAATTACTATCAAACCAGACCTTCAACCCTGCAATTATGTCTGGCCTATCAATGTTCAGTAAATAATTGCTTTTTCTCCATAGAAAATAGATTTGTCCATTCATCAACAAAATTGTCAAGGAATGTTGAAACAGTACAAGAGTAATAAGAAAACTTAAGTTGTGTCTACATATAAAACACAGATATCAAAGCAGTATAATTTATTGCTAAAAATGGGTTTATAAAGCAGGCTGCATAGTTAGATATAAAAGGAATGTAATATATTTTTACAAACTACTAACCAATTCCAATAATATTATTGATAGAACACAATCAACAAATAACATGGAGCATTTTTAATTGAATTTTAATTATTTGGATGGTGACAAATCCTGTTTATTCCTGTGTGAAAGGAAAGTTCACTGATAATTTAACATAATTGAAGTTAAATAAATCGACCAGATGACATTTTCATTTCTGAAAGTATTTAGTTTAAAGGACAAGTTTGACTTGCACAGATAATTGTTACTAGTTTTCATATATAGCTCAATAGTACTTGAACATTTACATTGACAAAATGAATATGATGAAAAACAGAACTCAAACTTTTTTTCCTCAAATATTCATATATTTCTTTGCTAAAGTGAAATTTTATCCAATATTTAGTGAAACTATTAAAAGAAAGTCTTTCAATTATCAATACACAGTTGTTATTTGAAATGAAACGAATAAATAATTCAATATGTTCCCTCATTCAAAACTCATTTAGTAATCTTTGAAAATAGATTCAATTGTTATCAATATTATGCATTTTCTTTTATCTCTTAAATATAAAATTCATTTTGATTGAAGAAAAAATTTAGCAAGATTTGCCTTAACCATCGGTGGGTAATTCAGTTTACAGTAACTGACTCAACAACGAAAATATAGGGTATATGCAGTCCATAATAATAATATATATGAAATAAACAGTCTGCTAAATTTGAGGTATAGACAGGAAAGACACAAAACAAACATCATCAACGAGTCAGACAAGATATCTGTGCATGTCTTAAAAAACTTAATGCAAATGAAATGAAAGGAGTTTTACGTCCTTCTTTTCTGCACCATTTGAAAAAAAATTAATTCAAGAGCACGGCATTTAATAAATGGGTGGCAATGGATACAATATTGGTCTTGCTGCAACACTTTTGCTTGTTATGTTCCTCTCATTTCATTCTACCCAAATAAAATAGACTGCTTTTAATATGCATAAATATCTTAGTCTAACTGTACAACTATATTGGTGGTGTATTTGAGGTCTGCACAGATCACAACCAAAAGTATGAAAAACATAATCAACATCATGTTGTTAAATGCTTAACAAGAATTAGGGTAATGGAAATCAAAACCTACAGGTAAGATCCAAAAAACAAAATCACAACCCTTAATCACATTACAGAATATAAGTACAATATACAACCCAAGAGTTTTTATAACAATACATCTATATATTGTCCAGCAAAAATATTTCGGCACATTAAGCCCGATTCAAATCAAATACAATTTATTTAAGGTAGTGAAGTCTGCCTTTTAAACTTCCAATAGACATTTATTCTACCTGGAAATGAATCAAAACAGAATGTGTCTTAATCTCTGCTCAACTATAAAATGGTAAACTTAACAACATTTAATACACATAATAGAAATTACAAAAAAAAAATACATTACAAGCTTCAAGTTAGTAGTTAATGTCATGATGATGCTTAGGTTTATAATAATTTTTGTGAACTTAAATAAAAAAAGACAAATTAAAAAGACTCAAAAAAAATTTCATTCTCTGATTGACAGTAACACTGCATCACAATTTCACCAAACAAAAAACAAAAACATGATTTTAGCCTCATGATTTCATATTTCAATTTCACTTGATCAATTTGAATTTACCATGTTGAAATTTGTTCCAAGATTCTCATTACTAAGATATCTAAGAATGTCAGTGATATGTACCTATCTAAGGCCAAACTTATTATACAGAGAATCAATTCAAGGCTGGACATTGGCTTAAAAATCACTTTAAAAGGTGAAATAAATTTCTCTGAACTAGCAAAGCCCTATGTAACAATTACAGCTGAAAAAAACACAATTCAAAAGGTTTACCCATGATAACCAATGGACAAAAACCTATATTCTGCTAGTGATAATCTAGCAAGCAACTTGGCATCACCTTGAAAGTTATCATAGTTTGCTGAGGTGATTCCTGCAACTGCCTTGTAATAATCCTTTCAATTTGGCTACTCTTCACACAATTTCATAACAAATTCACTTACACACGACCTTTGCTGTGTGTTGTTTTTGTCTTTATATTTTTTAACATCCAGCCATGACTTGACTTCTGTATTAATAATAATTAATAATATAAGAACTAGTTAAATCTACTGGTTAGATACATCAGATCTATATAATAATAATGATATAATAATGTAAATATATAAAATATAAAGAGATATGATTTAACATGATATGAATTGGTAACATATGTAAATAATGAAAGACCACATGCAAGAATAGATACCGGTAGCCAATTATATACATGTACATCTGAGATATCCACTACAAATTTATACTCTTGTTAAATGAATTCATCTTTTTTGTGGAGAAAATAGTGATGCCATAATGTGGTCAAGTTCTCCCACATGACATGAACCACACACAGGAACCAGAATGATGGAATTACAAGAAAGTTATACGTATCCTCGACCCCCATAAATAAAATATCTTTGTATTGCTCAGATGTACAAAATATCATAAACAACTGTGTAGTATAACAATCAAAAGACATAAAAAATACTAAAACTTTCATGGTTTTTGCAAAAGTAATATAGCCTAATGATAACTTTATTTTAGATCAGACATTTCAAAGACAAACAAAAGCAAAGAAGTCTTCATTCTTCATCAGAACTGCAAGCCAAATTTGAATTGAGACTGCTGGAAACAGCAAGTTCTCACTTACTTTGCTTATTTTTGTCAAAAATTTGAAATTAAACTCCCCATATCTAATGAAATTGTCCTGATGATATGGTTTATCCAAAACACATGTTGGAAGCATGAGTTAAGAGTTAATTAACATTAGGAAAAGGTTTCATTAAATGAAAATGTAAGTTGGTCTTTCTTTAAAGTAAAAATTTCTAAAATGTTGATAAATCAGTATTCAGTAAAGAAGAGAAATGATTGGTCAATTTGACATATTTGCAGACCCTGTCCTGCATTGAAAATATGGCACTGGTGCTACAAACACCACAATTTGTACAAGGAATAAGAAAAATACAAAATATCATTATATAAAATCTAAGCTTAGAATAATAAATAATAATCTAATAAACTAACTAACTATATGTAGTTATATTATAGTGCCATGAAGTGATAGACTTGATATGAAGCAGTTTCTATGGCTTGGATATAAAAATTTACAGAGCAGTGAAAATATAAAGGGTTGTTTCTCTGATAATTACAATGACACATGAAAAGATCAACATCCCTTCAAGTATAAAAAAGTTTCTAGAAGAGGATTGTGATGAGAATTATAAGATAAATTATTACTTGAGAGTCTCCAATCATCAATGGCAAAATCAATAAAGTATTTGCCATTGGGTGCTGGAAGGATGATACCTTTTAATGAGAGGGTTAGTAAAGGGATATAACTGAATAAATATTTTTACCAGCTTAAGAAAGAACAATTTCAGCTATCAGTATCACTTTTCAGATTTGTTATGTGATGTCTCATTCCCATACAATCAAACACAATTTAGGTTGTGATTACATTTTTCATTGAATTACATGTTTAATACTCCATGTAAGAAGGTATTACCCCCAAATCAAATACTGAAAGTTGTACAAATAGATGAAATTAAGCTGGCAGATCAAATATTTAGATAATTTTATCCCTTTCAATATTAAGAGACAAATATTGTCCTTTTAGCACCAAAAATATTCTACCTCTGGAGTTTTAGTGATGGATCAAAAGGTTTAGTATGTGCTTTTGGATAAATTCTACTATTTGATATATACAAGCTTAGATAAGACCTTTCCAAATTACGTCATTCTGTTATCATAAAAATGTTTTGGAGCTCGTTCAAAATTTTCTTCTTCATCATCTACCTTCCAGAAAAATAATACAGCACCTCCTACCAAGAAGAATAATGCACCCCATGATATACCATATGTCCAATCAAAGTCCCATCCTCTGACACTACTACCTTGAATTTCTTCAGAAAATTTGGATGGATAAACAATCAAGGCAATCAAATCACAGAGAGCTGAAAAAGAAAAATTAATGTTTTTTAAATAACAGTACCCAATATAAAGTGAAGAACAATATCAATATGACCTTCTTGTCGCTTGCAAGAAGAAAAACAAATATCAACGCAAGCTTTATTGCAAAGACTCTAAAATATCTTTAACAGCTCATGTGATAATGACATCATAAAACACTCAGTGTAATGGCAAAAACACAGACTATTGGAATAGTGCGAATTGATGCTATCAGTGTATCCACTTTCAAATTGCAATTTTTCATCCACTTGATTATTTTAGAAATATAATTTTGTGATTTTGAAAATTATTTAATAGAAAGAAAATTAATGATGGAAATGTTTCCTTGTTCCCTTATTTTTTAAACCTGTATCATTTTGCATAAAGTCATGCATGACTAATGAATTATATTTAAAAGGGTGTTAGTAAGGAAGTAAAATGGTATCAATATATTATGAATAAATCCTTTTAAAAGTCATACTGACATAATGAAACAAAATGAAAAAGGTTTTTTGATGGTATCCAGAAAGATAAGAAAATATATGATCCTACCTCCAGCAACACATAATATACCAGCTATGATATACCATGTTCTAGTTTTAGTACAAATACCAAATATACCTAATACTATAGCACCAACACTAGCTAATAATGTTATTATAACAAATGCTCCACAAGCTGACATCCAATCTATAAATAAATAAAACATTTCATATAATTAAAACAAAATATTCAAACAATTTCTGTGTTAGTCAATCTAATTAAAACATAGGCTCCATTTGATACTTTTTTCTGTGGTTTATAGGCCTAAGCTTACACCTGCCAGCCTTAATCTAAGAAAATTGTAATACACTGCACAAGTTCTCAAATATTTTACTAATGGATAGAGTAGCCTACTTGCTCTTGTTTTCAGTCCTACTTTAACAGTGTTGAATTGGTGGGCATAATCAGACTTCAATTTGACTGAGCTTAAAGAAGCTCAAAGCATAATGAAAAATTTCAATCGTAGATGAAATAATCATTTACTTCTATAACATTAAGGCCTTAGTATTAAAAAAACATATAATAATTCGCACTAACCTTTTGATACACAAATGGGGTCAAAGCCAACAATTTCAAAGCATTCTTCCCACAGTCCCCAATTCTGATACGATTCATCATCTCTTAATTTAACATCTACCCAATTAGAGCCTGCTAAAGCTACTATTATCAGTATCAAGGCGAAGATAGAAAATAACACTGCCAAGTGCTAAAATACAGAAAAGTATAAGGTGCTATGGAGACAGGGCAAGACAAAAAATTAATAGACTGCACAAATACAGGTTCAGTAAGGAACTAGGCCTAATGAAACAATATTTCTTAAAGGGACAGGTTTGCCATCCATTTGACCATATCTTAGTCTCAGAAACTTTTTTAGTTAAGCTAATGAGTCAAAATTTGAGCATTCAAAATCATGTGTGAAGGGTGTCCAGAATTATCTGTGTTTAAAAGTTAAAATGATGAGTTGACTTTATAGGCCTATAGAAATGAAATCCCAAGTTTGAGGTAAGCTTAATCTTGGAGACTTATATGAATTTCTACATTTTTAGGATCCTACATTCAGGATTACTTAATATATTCAAGATCCAAATCAACACCCGAAAACGGCAAACCTGTCCCTTAATATGGAATAATATTCATATGAATTGTAAAATCAATCTGTTAGATCAGATTGTCAGGCTCATAAATCTCTTTGAAGAAAGGAACGTGTGCTATCATTACATTCAGAGACCACTGGCACTGTGAAGTATATGTATTTGATCTATCTGCCTCTTGTCGGACAATATATCATGGAGATATAGAGGGATAGACCATTGCAGAACCAGGCATTTACAAAATTTAAAGAAAGGGAAAGTTGATGACACAAAAACATAAAATAAATGAGTCAGACAGGTGTTGGCCTATTTTTCAGTTTCTTAAGCAAAAAAAAACAACAGGTAGGCTAGATCTAAATAAAATGTTGATCAAATGAAAATTCACCTTTATGGGGCGACACGTTCGTACTTCAACTTGTGTCATTTTTCTAGAATATCTACCTTATCCACGAAGAATTAAGGTAATAAAATATATAAAAACAAGATATTTAAAGAATTTTCAGAATATCCACCATTGACCTACAAACTTCCGAGATGATTCGTACCACTTTTCTTACAAAGACGTTTGGCTTGGCGATAGGACGTATCGAAACAAGCCGTTTTTTTAAGCTTCTTAGATTGTGCACATACATAATTAAGCTTTGAATTCAGAACAGAATTCTATTAGTGAAACCTTAAACATAATTAATCATATCGTAATCTGTTAAGGAAATTCTAATAGATTTACTAACCATGTCTCGCAAAAAATGTAATAGGTCCTATGCTGAACTCCACTATATTCACTACAGGGATGTTCTTCTTTTACTTGCCCTTTTTCATATGTGATCCCTATTATATCTGTTACCCCAGCAAAGATGACACAGCATACAATAGGCCTAAAGTTATTCTGAACATACATGGACGAAACCGAAATAGCCGTGGTCTGATTTTATACTTCTTAAACAGAGTTGTTTCCCATAGGACTACAGTCTGGCTGTGTTATTCATATCCCAATAAAGACTATAGACATGTATAAAACAAGAGGAAATATCGCTAAGATTTATTCTTGAAAAAGAGGAAACATGAAAAGATAGGCTTATATAGTAGGCCGATATTAAATGTAGATAATTGTAACGTGGAAGCCCTCTCAATATGAACCAATCTCTAAAGTCCGACAGAGCAAAATTCAACCGTACCTCTAGTTGCCCCCACATCAATATTCCTTAAATTTTCTTTTTAAAAAAGGCTGATAAAAGTTTTAACTTCAAAGTTTTCAATTCGCATGATCACTTTGATGATGGCAAGTTTTGTTGAAAATCAATGATTGAGTGAATGTAGAATAAAGTTTAAAAGGAAATGACAGATCACGATGGACAAGTTACGTTAACAGCTTCACTAATTGATAGCAGAGAAATATAAAGAGTACTGATTTTCCTTGAATTTTCACATCTTAGAGCCAGAATTTCTTTGGGGTTAATGGTGTCGTTGCACATTGTCTTACGTCGATGCACTGCATATCTTTTGATATAAAATATACGTGTTGAACTGTATGAGTCATTTAAAGCTAATGTGCCAATTAAATGTTTCAGAGTCTAGAAAATTCTCGTACCAGGTTAAATCTCAAGTGAATTTTGCTCGAAAGTAGAAATAAAAAAGATTTTAACTCGACTCATACATAAATGATATCTTCTTTGATAAATTTTCCTCCAGCTGAAAATGCAGTGAAACTACAAGTATTTGAAAAGATCATTTTAGTGTCAACAAAGGTCTCGTTACAGGTGAATTTCGGTTGAATTTTTGTCCAAAGATAATTTGGGCGAAGTACTTTTTTTTTAAATAGATTGAATACGGTAGATTGATAAATTATGCTATGGTTTGGATTTATATGCATGTCATTACTAGTTCTGTAATAGAAAAGTAATATATCATTAAAACCGACATCTGGCATTCGGTTTCAGAAAAAATATCATCGCTAAAAACACAAATTGAAAATGTTTTTAGGCCTACGTGGGAGTATTTCTTCAATAACGAAGAGAAAGATGAAGTTGGTTGTGGCGATTACTAGCCGACAATGTTACAATTTTAAAAACAATTGTATCAGATCACATGACAAATTCTCTTGTAGAAAATCTGACGGTGATTTATTGCTTTTAAAACGTTTTGAAGATTTTTTTTCTGATGTCAAGGGATTGAATAGACACTGTTTCAAACGACACAAAAAGTAAAATGAATGTTGTCGCGGTTGTCAAAGAAGATAAATGATTGTATGAAATCTATTTGTAGTCTAAAGATTACTAGGGGAGGGGGTCAAAAACTTAAACAGTTATTATCTCGTCACAGTTAAAGGGCAAGTCCTAATAATAAATGATTTTCATGCACCCAGAAGAGCAATATTATAAATAACTTTTTTTTTTATTCCTAAAGGATTTCATCATTAATTACTTTGTATATTCGTAAAATTGATTTCTATGCCTTTAAGAAAAATCTGGCACAATCTGTCCTTACAGTTTTCTTGGACGTTATACGCGGATGGGTTATCACCGAACGGGTATATGGCAACATGAAATAAACGGAGGGCTACAATAAATGCGTGATAGCATAGAATTGATGTGTAGCCCGACAAATTTTTCAAAGAGGTTTGTAGCCTTTTTACACGTGTATATTGGGACACTCGGCTAGATTATCGCAAATATCTTGGTTAACATTGTATTCCCATTGGTCATGTAAAGGTCATTGGTCATTGCACGTGTAAAGGTTCAACATTCCCCCAGTTCTGATCCTGCAGTGAAGATCTATAGGCTACCTTGAATTTGGATACAGGGAATCCGAAAATGTGGAATCGGACGTTAAGAGCAGAAACCGGAACAAATGTAGTTTTGTACAGAATTCAACATTTAATTCAAAATCAGTGAAATGCAACACGCAGTCTTGTAATTTGTTTTATTTTTGTTAAACAGTACCTATAGAACAAGCTCTTCTGAGTTCTGCTATCACAATAGTAGATTTCGCATACGTGATTACCATGAAATTCTGTTCTGTACAGAGTAAATTTTCATCCAACATCTTTCTGAGCAAGTTAAGACCGACAATAACGGTCATGACTCTGTTTCGAAATCCAGATAGTATTGTGCATCGGGTCTTTATTCTCTATGAGCGTTTAGAGGTTCTTTAACGTACACATCGAATTCAATTCTTTCATGGGGTTCCCGGTGATGTTTTAATTCCACGGTAGGAGTCTAGAATTATAGAAAAGCGAGATGTTACTTCCATATTATACAAACTGTATAAGCTGATATAAACCTAATTTTAGGTTTCCTTTTTATTGGTTTTTCTACTGTCAATTTGTCTATTGTTATCGACTGACCTAGGAGTCATCGCATCTACTTTCGATTTATCAATATTGCCCATTGTCAGGCAAAATGGATAGTAATTATAGATGATCAACATTATTATAAGTTTGTCATTGGACGGAGACAATCTACCATTCTATCACCTGCCTCAGAAATATAACACCATTTTTTATTACTTGTGAAAAATAAGAGATAAAACTTGAAATATTCTGAAATGGGAGTCAAATTTCTCGTGAAGAAGCATATCATCTATCACATAGCCTCTATCAATACGGGGTATAATTACAGAAACATTGTAAGAAGGTGAAAACACTAATTATTAGAATCTATCAAATATTTTTTACACCCTATAATGTTTTATATGAGATATAGTTTGTGTTTTTAAGCTATTTAAGAAATGATCAGGTCGCTGACAAAAAGTAACAAGGGTCATTTCCCGCCTTTTACCTTTGATAACAACCCAACTCTCTAATTTGGAGTTGCAAATGTGCAAATGTTCGCTTTATATAGACTGTCAAATGCTTTCTTTTGACAGATGATAGCCCAATCACAAATTTGATAACATGAGCCGTGTTTAGACAGCCATAAAAACTGGCCCACTTGAAGTGAACCGTAGGCCTACTCGGTCCGGACTCGGCCCAGTTGGCCTGTACCGTTTACACAGCACTGTTTTCACTGGGCCAAAATCAAAAGTAGACCAGCTCTCCAGTCAGAGGAGGCGAAAAAAACACAAACATACAAAATGGCGCCCACTATAAACAAAGCTATGATTTTGAAGTTTTTGTTGAATTTGTCTCGTTTAAAGTGCAAACGAATCTTGTGATTATGACGGGTACCTTCCAATAGAACTTGGACGATCTGGTCACCCCAAATAGCGATCAGAGCTTCGGTCTCTGCATCACTCGATGTAGCTCCTCGTTGAGCACACATTTTAACAGTAAGTCGATCCTTTTTTTGTCAAAGTTTAGCCTAGTTTGTTGTTCCCGCAAGTAAAGAAACAGGGTCAAGGTGATTATTGCGCATGCGCACAAGTCCCCGGCTAAGTGGGCTTGTATATTTTGCCGTGACGTACTCGGTCCGGACCGAGACCACCTGTTCTTGCGGGATTGAAACTAGCACGGTGCCGAGCCCTCTCAACCCGTTTACACAGCCACTTTTTGTGCCGAACCGTACTCGGTCCGGACCTGGCCCGGATAAATTGTGACTGTCTAAACGCGGCTATAGACGTTAAACGACTATCTATTACAAACTGACGCGAGAGGTTCCAGAATTAAACTTTTTGGCCCAGGCCGAAGAAATGATAATCAAAAATTGCCTTCAAACCAAATTTTGCAAGTAAATTGATCGCAGGCTTGACATAATGTCAACTATTAAATACAACTTCCAGTTTAGACTTTCCCAGACACCAAAACTACTTTTCATTAGCACTCACAGAGAGAGCTCAAGGAGATCAAGCAGATCACCGTAACCATGCTCTCCATTCATTTAAGTCCACTTCCGCTTCTCTGAAAATGACCTCGTATATCGACCACAACTGCAGACTGCACATTTTCCATTTAATTCTAAATTCTTTCAAAGAGAGACTATAAAAGTCACCAGTTGATGTGTCTTCATCTCGCCTATCAATTAGTGAAGCTGTTAAAGTAACTTGTCCATCGTGATCTGTCATTTCCTTTTAAACTTTATTCTACATTCACTCAATCATTGATTTCGACTTTTAACAGTTTTCTTCTAGAAAATCACTTGGAACTCTAATGGTTTTAACTTTTATTGAAATCTGGGTTAATTGTGACCATTTCGCTTTTCTCATTCTGAAATAAAGTCTTACTTAGTTTTTTCTTGTGATGAAATAACTGTAAAATAGCTTCTGAAAGAGCAAATTCGTTCCAGGACTCGGCTGTTGATTATATAGGCCTAGAGTCATTTGTGTGGGAATCAATCAGTTTGAATCAATATTACAAACCCATAATACAAAAATTATAAAAAATATTCATATAAAACATTCATACTAAAATCTATAACCTTCAGCCTTTTATGGTCGTAATACATCTTAAATACTGTTCATTGTCGCATTCTTTTTTTTTTTTGTGTTACA